AGACCTCTCCACTTAGACCAGTGGTTCTCAACCTTCCTAATTCCGTGACCCTTTAATACAGTTCATCATGTTGTGGTGAACCCCCAACCATAACATTATTTTTGTTGCTACTTCATAACTGTAATTTTGCTACTGTTATGAATCGGGCAACCCCTGTGAAAGGGTCGTTCGACCCATAGGTTGAGAACCGCTGTTCTAGACCTTTGTAAGTACGTTTGAAAATGACTTCTACATGAGTAATGTATAATAGAAATTCTTATAGTGCTTATTTTTGTGAAAAAAGATAAAGAACCTCTAACAGAATGAAGTAGGAGCCCAGGAAATGATGTTTGTCAGGGATGGAGTTGCTAATTCCAAGCCCGGCAGTTCAAACCCACTAGTAGCTACATGGGAGAAAGATGAGGCTGTCTGCTCCCATAGAGATGTACATAGGGTTGCTGTAAGTCATATTAAACATGATGGAAGTGGGCTTTTCCAGAATTAATATGGTATATAACTTGGATATTACAGAATAGATCTTAAGCTGCGGTAAAGTTAAGATCCATTATTAAATTGAATTAAACTTGAAGCTTTGGTAGGCAAGTAAAATGATGAAATACTAGAATCAACAAAAGTAACTTATTGAAATATTAACAAAAAAATAGCAATTTTTCCCCATTTGAAACTATTCAACACATAGCAAAGCACAGCTTTCTTACATGCAATTAAAATTATGTGCAAAAGGTATCTCTAAGGCCAGTCAGAAATTTCATTAAATACAAACATTATCAAAATAAAATATGAATCCAATTAACCATATAAGCATACAGAACAATTAAGGTTACCTTTTTTAAAATGCGTAAATGAACAGAAGTAATTCAGCTACAACTTTCTGAAGCTTATTTTCAATTCAAATATCTTCCCCAACTGTTATTTTTAGAGTTGAAATGTGCTGTTTTTCTAATTAATCCAAACTGACAATAAAATTGTTAAACATTATCTGTTTAATAAATGTACTATTGTAGTTAATAGCCTGCTAAAGTTAAAAAATGTTTGTTTGAAAATCTGCAATCCTGAATGCAACAATTAGACAGCCAGCCTGAGGAAAAGGCAAACAGCCACAAAATTGCACCAAACACACACGTGCGTGCAGCAGCTACGTAACGCCCGTACTTC